CCTGGGGAGAAGGCGTTTCCTTTGGCCTTTTGGTGGAGGGGGCTGGGGGGAGTGGGTGATTGTCATCCTCACCCGCTCCTGGAAAATAAATTGCTTCCCCATCACGGTGTGGCAGTTTTTGCCCCAGCCATCCTCTTCCTCGAAATGGGGGTAAGGGATGGAAGGAGCTGGACCCTGGCACTGGGGTGATGGTGCCTGAGGTGTGAGCTGAGTTGGGGAGGGGGTCCCCCCTGCCAAGGCTCAGCTTTGTCCTGAAGCTTGGGGCTGAGTGCCTGTGAGTTTTCATCCCCACAGTGTAAACACAGCTGGGCCAGCTGTGGCTGTAAACACCCCGAAAGGAGCCACGGGAGGCAACTGGCCTCGTCCCCTGGCTTCCAGGGCTGCCTCCTGTGCTAGGGAGTGATGATGCTCAGCCAGCCCCTCCTTGACCCCAAATCCCATGGCAAAAGTCCCCATCCATGGTGGCTTCCATTGCCCAAACCACTTCACACACTGGGGACACACTGGGGACAGGGGTGGTGGCTGACCCCAAGGTGCTGAGGCTGAGCCAGGCACCTCCTGTGTTATGCTGGTAGGGGCTTTGGGCACGGAGTTCCTTTGTGGGAGATGCTCAGCACCCCCCTGGGGATGCTCAGCACCAGGGAGCTGCTGGCTGGCTGCTGTGCAGGGGGTTTGCCAGTGGTAGGTGGTGCTGGAACTGTCCTGAGTGGACAAAGGTGGCTGTGAGACCCTGTCATGCCCTTGTTGTCATTGGGGACCTCCTAGTTTAGGGTTTGGGAGCAGGAGCAGGTCAGAGAGCAAAGCACAATCCCATCTGAGCCACTCTGTACTCAGGCAAGGGGATCCAGTGGATGTGGGTGACTTGGCCAGCCCATGGGGTCTGTCTCACCCAGAGCTGGACCCCAAACACAGAAAGAGTGGGGAAAGAAGCAGAAAAAGGACCTCAAGGGTTATTGCTCTAGCTCTGCTGCATTCCCACTCCCCTTGTGTGCCCATGGACACATGCACATCCTGCAAGACCCTGCTGAGCAAAATTCACTCCTAAAGCCCAACAACTCCATCTCTTCCCCCTCTGCTTTTACGTGGGTCCTGGTGAGATTGGGGTGGGAGATGGGAACAGAGCATGCCTGCTTGTCCCTGTGCAGCCTTCACATGGAGCTCCCTGCGGGAAGAATGGGCAGCCGTGGCCCACGTGATGGGAACTCTCCGGACCATGAATGGGGGAGATGCTCCATTCATAAATGCAGGTCCTGCTGCAGCTGCGCGCGGATCTGCCGGGAATCCCCTGCAAGCTGGAGCTGCTCCTCCCTCTGCCAGCAAATCCCCTTAACTCTTTGCTCATGCTCGTTTGGGCTCTGCTCAGGAAGCTGAGAAAAAGCCAAGCTGGAACCACTGCCCGGGATGCAGTGGTCCTTGGGCAGAGCTGGCAGTGATGCTTATGGCACAGGGGTGAAGAGTCATCAGCTGCATTGCCCAGCTCAGCTCCTTCGGGATTTGTTCTGCTAAAATAGGCAGAGCTTGTGAAAGTGGAGTGGGTTTTCCTATCACCTCACAACCCCCTCCCCAGCCTGGGTCTTTCTGAACTCTGCTGCTTTGATTGCATAGTGATGACCAATGTGGTGATCCTGGGAGGGACAGGAGATGCTCCCATCAGTGAGAATGCAGGGCCAAATGGCTGCTTAATTAGTTATCAGAGGCAATTAAAGGGCTTGAGCTGAGCTGCAGTAAGGGGGTTGGCCAGGAGCTCAGGCTGACCAGCTTCCAGCCCCCTGGCCTTGCTGTGGGTCCTGCCATGAGAGCAGTTGCATATGCTGGTGCAAAGCCTCAAGGTGCTTTTGTGGTTTTAAAATGGTGTTTTGGATCTGTCAGAAGGTGTAGGAGCAGCTCTGACTCCCCAGTACAGGGTTAGGTGGGAGAAGGGATGGTTTTGCAGCTCTGAGAGTCAGTGTTTCACAGCAAACTGCTGAAACTTGGGTCTGAGCTGTCTCTGCTGGCCCTTGCCAAACCTCTGAGACCCCCACAGTCAGATGCCTTGGCTCACTGAAGGCTCTGTGTTATCAAAACAAGGCTCCAGAGATTTTAGGGAGATGAAGGTGCCTGGCTGAGCTTCATTCTCAATGTCTATCATAAGAAACAGACACTGGGGGATGTTGGCAGCTCCTGTGCCATGTTCACTGGGCTGAGGTTTGTCGTGTGCCTGGTGGACACCCCAGCTCTGAGCTGACCTCATCCTTTCTCTGTATCCCCCAGAGCAAGCTCCACATGGAGGGTTTCCGCAGCCTGAAGGAGGGCGAAGCTGTTGAGTTCACCTTCAAGAAATCATCCAAAGGTTTGGAGTCCATCAGGGTGACTGGCCCAGGGGGTGTCTTCTGCATCGGCAGCGACAGGAGGCCCAAGGGCAAGAGCCTCCAGAAACGCAGATCGAAAGGAGATCGGTAAGGGGCAGCCAGGGCTGGCCCAGGGCAGGCACCAGGAGCTGCCTGGGTACCCTGGGGATGGGTGTGGGTCTGGTGGGGTGGGCAGTTACCCTTCCCTCTGCGAAAGCAGCTTCCTTTGGTGGTTAATGAGTGGCAGATGCAGCTCGGTGGGGAAAGGGCAGGGAAGCAGCAGTGAAGGGGCAGAGGTCAGGGACACCCCGGGCAGCCTCTCCCCTTGGCTCGTGGAGCTGTTCTGGGCAGGGGTAATTTTCTCCAAGAGAAACCTTTCCTTGTGGGAAGGAAATAGCTGGACATCCTGGCAGTGTCTCCCACGGTGAGGCTGTGAGCCCCGGGGCGAGATTCTGGGCAGCCCTTCATCCTCCTCCTCTCTCATCCTCTCCATCCCAGCTTTCCCACTGGGAAAACTGTTCTCACAAGAGGGGTTTCAAACTTCCTAGGGAGGAAAAGGAAAAGGGTTGTGGTCATTCTGCATGGATTAGGGATTTAAAATGGACATGAGCAGCTTCCTCTGCCCACTCTGCTCCGGTGTGAAGGTGGCACCCATGGGATGAGTGCTGCAAGGTACAGCCCTGCAAGAAACCACCTTTGCCACACTGATGGCCACAGTTTCTGCAACTGCTCTTCTGCCTGGGGCTATCAGTTGTCCAGTTGTCTGTTCCCATGGCAGTGCAACCCTGGAGTGGGATCTGTAGAAACAGGAACCAGAACCCTGATGGAGCCAGAGAAATGGAAGACCCCAACATCTCTATTTTTGTCTCTGGTGTCAGTGCAGGGGTTTGCTGCCATCTCCTGGGTACCAGCAGCACCACTGAGCCCAAACTGGCCATGCTGGAGCTCCGTGGGCACGGACCCCAGGACCACTATCCTTCCCAAAAAGCCAACCCCACATCCCCACGGTGGCCAGGGCTGTTTTAAGCCTAACACTGATTACAAAGCCAATCCCAGCTATGGTCATGGCATGACCCAGCTCATTTTATTTCTCCTCCTCAAATCTCTTCCCCTCCCCTTGCACAGATGCTACAACTGCGGTGGGCTGGACCACCACGCCAAGGAGTGCAAGCTCCCACCACAGCCCAAGAAATGCCACTTCTGCCAGAGCATCAGCCACATGGTTGCCAACTGCCCTGCGAAAGCACAGCAGTCTCCCAGCTCCCAGGGAAAACCTGCCTACTTCCGAGAGGAGGAGGACATGCACAGCTCGGCCCTCCTCCCCGAAACCCGGGAATGATGGTGGGTGGTGGGGAAGGGGCGACTTCCACCAGGATGAAAAGGCTTTGGCAAGGCAAGGGGCAACCGTGGGGACTCAGGGGATGGAGAGCAGGGTAAGGACTGGGGAGGGCAGACAGCAGTGCTAACAGCAGGGACCTGGTGTCCCTGCACAGACCTTTTTCCTCTGTTCCCAGGCTGGGAAAAGCCCTGCTGTAATCAGGATGGCTCATTCCAAAAATAGGGGAAGGCAGCACCTGGCTTATCTCTTCCAGCTAAAAAACCCAAAACAAACATATTCAATATATCTTTATTCTTTTACTTAATTAAGCCAGGCAGTAGTGTCTTGGGGAGGAGGAGCAGAGAAACAACATCCCAGACAGGAGCTCATGGCTCCTTGTTCTCCTGAGCTTCAAACAGGCTCTGGCACAGCTTGGATGAGCTGCAGGGGACCAGCTCCTGTGCCTGCCCCAAGGAGGGAGGGGAAAGGCTGGCTGCAAGTGCCAAGGACATGCCCATGGGCTGGTCCCATGGATTCCTCTGCTCCTTGTGGCTTCTCACTTCCAGGTCAGTGTGAGGATTTGCAGTTTTTCTGTGGTCACTCCATTACTGAAACCAGCAGATCCCAGATTTGGGCTCAGTCTGGCAGGGAGTGGAGCATCTCTCAGGGTTGGGCTGGCACTTGCTGCCTGCTCATGGGCTGTGAGCTGCAGCCTGGGGGAGGTCAAAAGAAAACCACTTCTTTTCCCCTTAATCTTTCCCAAATGCCAGCCCAGAGAGCACAAGGGGGTTTATGCAGCCAGCTCTTCCTCTCTGAGTCTTCTCCCTGCCTCCAAAGCA